ATGAAGTAGTTAATAAAAGAGGTATTGAACTAACAATCATATTAATTTATTAAATTAACATTAATTAAAACTTTTAATCAACATCTCTAATTATTTGTAAATTAAATTGCTAGATGGTGGGTATTAAGGCTAATCTACCTTATTACTAAATAAAATCTCTAATTAATTATATGCAAATTAAATTACTAGCTGGTGAGAAGACTATTTTATAAATTAAAATCTTTATAGTAATCTTATTATTAAATAAAACATCTCGAATTAATTATCGACAAATTAAATTACTAGACTGTAAGTACAAATCTATTTTATAAATTAAAAACTTTATAGTAATCTAATTATTAAAATTTTTTCTTAAATAATTATCTGCAAATTAAATTACTAGTCCGTGAGTGTAATACTATTTTACAGTAATCTAATTATAAATAAACATCTTTAATTTGTTATCTGCAAATTAAATTACTAGACTGTGAGTATAAAACTATTTTATAAATTAAAAACTAAAGGTCCAAAGCATCATATAGGGTACCCGATAGCAAACTATTGGCGCCAAACATATATCAGAAGCTTATCAGTAAAAATATATATCGGTATATCCCGATATTTATTTTTTACCTGATATGCTTCTGATATATTTTTGGCGCCAATAGTTCGCTATCGGGTACCCTATATACATGCTTTAACCTCTGAACTTTATAATAATCTTATTGTTAAATAAAACATCTGGATTAATTATCTGTAAATTGAATTACTAGGCTGTGAGGATAAGACTATTTTATAATTAAAAACTTTATAGTAGGGATGTTAAGTAGTCAGACTATTTTAGTTTTTACAGTACAATTTATATGTAACCGGCTAGTTCGACTAGGTTGGTTACGTATAAATTGTACTGTAAAAACTAAAATAGTCTGACTACTTAACATCCCTACTTTATAGTAATCTTATTAAATAATATCTCTAATTATTTGCAAATTAAATTACTAGTTTGTGAGTATGAGATATTTTATAAATTAAAAGTTTATAATAATCTTATTATTGATAAAACATTTATAATTAATTATCTGCAAATTAAATTACTAGTCCGTGAGTATAAGACTATTTATAAATTAAAAATGTTTATAATAATCTTATTATTAAATAAAACATCTATAATTAATTATTTTACTAGCCTGTGAGTATAAGACTATTTTATAAATTAAAAAGTTTATATATCTTATTAATAATATCTCTAATTATTTGCAAATTAAATTACTAGTTTGTGAGTATGAGGCTATTTATAAATTAAAAGTTTATAATAATCTTATTATTAATAAAACATTTATAATTAATCATCTACAAATTAAATTACTAGGCTGTGAGTATAAGAATATTTTATAAATTAAAAAAGTTTATAATAATCTTATTATTAATAAAACATCCGTAATTAATTATTTTACTAGACTGTGAGTATATTATTATTTTATAAATTAAAAACTTTATAGTTATTTTATTATTAGTAAAGCATCTCTAATTAATTATTTGCAAATTAAATTACTAGGTCGTAAGTATAAGACTGTTTTTATAATTAAAAACTTAGTAGTAATTTTATTATTAAATAAAAGATCTCTAATTAAACATTTGCAAATTAATAATTAGCTGGTAAGTATAAGACTATTTTATAAATTAAAAATTTTATAGTAACCTTGTTAATAAAAAAAAATTCTCAAATCAATTATCTGCAAATTAAATTAGTGGATTGTAAATATAAGATTATTTTTATAAATTGAAAGCTTTATTGTAATCTTATTATTAAATAAAATATCTCTAATTAATTATCTGCAAATTAAATTACTAGGTGGTGAGTATAAGATTATTTTACGTATAAACTAAAAACTTTATAGCAACATTATTATTAAATAAAATATCTCTAGATTTCAAACCTGTGAGCATACGACTATTTTATAAATTAAAAAGTTTATAGTAATTTTATTATTAGATAAAAGTTTTCTAATAGATTAAAAATACTAGTTAGTAAGTAAAAGAATATTTTAATAAATTAAATTTATAATGATCTTATTATTTAATAAAGCATCTCTAATTAATTATATTAATTATCAATTACTAGCCCGTGAATAAAAGATTCTTTTATAAATTAAAACTATAAATTACTAGCCGGTGAGTATAAGGTTATTTTATAAAATTAAAAATCTCATTATGTAATAATAAATTATCCACAAATTAAATTCCAGGAAGTCAGTTAAAATTGAAATCGCGGTAAGTCTATAAATTCAGTGACAAAATTTTTTACAGTGATAATTCTGACTCAATATTAGTATGTGCAGTTGAGTATTTTATAAATTAAAAACTTTATAATAATTTTATTATTAATATAACATCTCTAATTAATTATCTAGCCTGTGAGTATAAGACTATTTTATAAATTAAAACATTATAGTAATCTTATTATTAATTTTTATGTTCTTAAGGGTGCGACCAATAGGATAAAAATTTATAATATAGAATATTTTTATTTATTGCTCAGAAAAACTAGAAGATGTTTACTTAAACAAATATTTTATCATTTACAAACCATACATATATATATTATGCGGCAAAAATAGATGAGCTTTAACTTGACAAAAAATTTATATATCAGTTATTATTTTAATAAGTTTTAATTTTAAATGATATTAATAGCCCACATAGAATCGATAAAGCACTGATTGGATACATTGTTTTGATTGATCGTAGTAATAATCATTAGAAATTCATGGTAAGCGCGATGCTTGAGCAAATTAGCAACCAATACTTTTTACTTATTAATTTAATGTGATGTTTCCCTGCTGGTTGGGTAAATATAATTTGATTGAATTACTGTAACTAGCAGATAGGTAAACAGGAATAGTGTAGCTTTAATTAATAATCTTATATATGTGCGTATCTAAAAGGTAGTTGTAATTGAAAATGGATTATTGAATAAGTTTCATAAATACAGTTAGACCTCTCTAAGTGCGCGCCCTTGGGACCACACTTTGATAATGTGCATATAGAGAATAATAAAAAAAGGTGCATTTATGGGGGTCAAGTATTATTTGGGTCTGCACTTGAGCGTGCATTAGAGAGGGTGTGCACTTATAGAGGGTGTACCTAGAGAGGTCTGACTGTAATCCATTTTTAAAATTATTTGCCACGAATAGATTTTGATGTAGCTGATACTGAAAATTGGGTCTCTAAAAATGTAAACCCTATAAAATCCGTATACAGTCAGACCTCTCTAAGTGCACCCCTATAAGTGCACACCTTCTCTAAATGCACACTCAAGTGCCGACCCAAATATATACTTTACCTCCATAAATGCACTTTTCTTATTATTCTCTATATGCACATTATCAAAGTGTGGTCTCAAAAGCGTGCACTTAGAGAGATCTAACTGTATATTGTATTGGTATTTACGTATCAATTGTAGTTCTAGCGCAACCCCTTTAATTTATTATAAATTTTATTTTATAATTTATAGAAAAAAGATAAAGTCATACATTAATGCTTATGTAAAAGTTTACGTATAATTGCTGAAAAAACAACTTATAGAATCGGCCTAATAATCATTTGGTCAGATGTCTCAAAATTAATGAAACTGCTGTAATTAATTCATGCAATCATGCAAATTCCAATTACGCCACATACACCGACGCTACAAATACCTCCGCTTAGCTTAAATATATGGGTTAATAAATCTTTTACGCTTATCAACTAAATCGATAGATTTTTATGCAGATTTTGGTAAGGTTTAATTTTAAAAAAGGCACAATTTTAAGTGTTTGTCATTTCCAGAATCTAGTGAGATATTGTTTTATAAAACTTTATGTACCTTTTCTTGAGACCTTTTGTCTATGCCTGATATTATAAATTAAGCAATGTTATTCGTTTTATCTATTGCACTCAACTATATTATATTAATCACTGATAAACACTTCGTTAATATCAAAGCTCGTCTTGAATATTATGATAACCTTTACAATTGACTCTATTAGACGCATAAATCTAAATAATAATGATTATATCTTAAGTAATTTCGAATTGTTTTTTATGAGCGATAGATAAAAATGCTCTAGGCATGATTAAATTTATTATTCTATTTGTTGCACCCTTGAGAAACATAAACGTAAAATTATGAACTCTAAGGCCACACAAAGTTAATTTTTCGTTTTGCATAACATGGTGTTCCGAAATTCCAGTCGGCGGGTCGGAATTTTTATTTTTTTTTTTTCTAAAAAAAAAAATTTTGACTATAAATTAATAGATTCGCGTTCATATTTAAGGCCATGTAAGTTAATTTTTTGATTTTCATAACGTGGAACAGAAAATTCGGAAATTTTGTTTTTTTTTAACAGACCTGTCGGGTTATTGCGGAAGATCAAGTTCGTTATCGGGTGATACCGGATAAATTTATGGAAAAAAATTAAATACGTAGCAAAAATGGAATAATTGGGGGCAATTGAAACTTAAAAAAAAAAAAAATTTTTTTTTTTGAAAAATTGGGTCGGCGGGTTATGCAAAACGAAAAATTAACTTTGCGTGGCCTAATGTTACTACGTAATACATGTTTAAAATAGTAAGTTACATGAAGAATAAGTAAATTTATTAGTACGTTGTACTGTAACTATAGGTGCAGATATTTGATAACTGCTTCCTCATTTCATATAAAATTTGGCTAGTGACGTTCAACGTCCCTTTGTATGTTTGTCAGTAGTGCATGTAAATATTAACTCACGTATATTGATAAATTAAAATCACGTGACGAATATAATTATATACTATATATACCTGGCTTAGACGGTCTCCAAGTTAGTAAAAGATTTTCATGGTTCGCTTGTACGTACGTACCAGTTACGTATATATGACGTAAGTGCGTTAGTATGAACGTACGAACAAAATTTAAACAGCATTTTGCGCAACATATCGCCATTACAATTTATAAATAAAGTGTTACTTACAGTGAGTTTGAGGATTTGAACAAAGAATTCATGGACGGTTCCAAATGTACATTTAATGTTCAGGAAGAGGTCAATAATATAAAAAGAGAATCTGAAGATGAGATTCAAAAAGGTAATTCATTATTGTATAATTCAAAGTTAAAAACTTCATTGGAATCTTATGGATTATATATTCCCTTTGCGAATGATGATGAATTTACATTAAATTTATTTCATTACTTTATTAAATTATTTAATGTTCATTATGAGCCAACATATATCGTTAATACATTGAGACAATATTTTAAAGATAAGAATACAAATCCTTTTGATATTTTTAATCAATTAATTCATCATCCAAAACAATTATATTTTACAAGTATAATTGGTTACTTTTATCAATTTGGAATTGGTACAGAGATTAGTTATAGACTAGCGAATAAATTTTATACACGATCAATTATTCAAGATGTAAAAACAAGTAATTCTGATTTACGATTTAACAATGAATTAATTGTAAATAATCAGAATATAGGAAAAATTTCTCTAGCTTATTTATATTTTTACGGTATTGGAGTTAAAGAAGATATGCAAAAAGCATTTCATTTATATAATGAAACAGTTAAAAATAATTATGGTTTAGGACAATATTTGGTTGGTAAATGCTTTGAAGAAGGTTATGGAGTAGGAAAAAATAATAAAAAAGCTTTTGAATGGTATCTCAAATCTGCCGAAAATGGAACACCCCTTGGTCAATATGGTCTTGGACGATTTTATCAACACGGAATTTCTATTGGTATTAATGAAAAAATGGCATTTGAATATTATTTAAAATCAGCCGAAAGTGGAAACTTAAATGGATTGGCAAATCTTGGATATTGTTACGAAAATGGTATAGGTGTTATCAAAGATAAAAAGAAAGCTTTTGAATTATATTTTAAATCATTTTTTAGTGCAAATATGACTATTGCGCAAAATTATTTTATGCGTTATTATAAAAATTATAGAGAAATTGTAAGTGATAATGAGATGGCTCTTAAATGGCATTTAAAATCAGCAGAAAATGGTAATCTCATCAGTCAAAATAATCTTGGATATTGTTATCAATATGGTATTGGTATTTATAAAGATTTTGAAAAGGCAATTGAATGGTATTCAAAATCCGCAAAAGGCAGTAATTCTGATGGACAAATTAATTTGGCAAGTTGTTATTTTGAGGGTCAAGGAGTTGTTAAAGATGAAAAGAAAGCATTTGAATTATGTTTAAGTTCTGCAAAAAATGGTAATTCTAATGGATATAACGATCTTGGATGGTGCTATCAGCATGGTTCTGGTGTTTCTAAAGACAATAAAAAAGCATTCGATTGTTATTTGAAAGCTGCTAAAAACGATAATTCTTTTGGACAAGCTAACCTTGGATTTAGTTATTATAATGGTTTAGGCATTGACATAGATCGTAAACAAACATTTGAGTGGTATTTGAAATCTGCAAAAAACGGTGGCGATAATGCACAAAATAAACTTGGATGTTGTTATCAACATGGCACAGGCACTAATATAGATGAAGAAAAAGCATTTAAATGGTATTTTAAATCTGCTGAAGGTGGTAATATTGAGGGGCAAATTAATCTCGGCCAGTGTTATAAAAATGGATTTGGAACTCCTATAGATGAAGAAAAAGCATTTATATTGTTTTCGAAGGCTGCATACGGCAAAATTAATAATCTCTCTTGGGTTCGGTGTTTATTGACAAAGTGATTTGAAATACAGTGATTATAATTCATGATAATTATTGCGGTTGGTGACGCGAAGTATCACTAGTTTATTTTTTGACGAATAGCAGGAATTAAATGCGTGATATTAAATATACAAATGGCTCCTTTTAATCACAATAAATGATGAATATTCTTTATAATTGCTGATAAATTGATTAAATTAATAAAAATAAATAGAATTCTCCGATGTGTTTTATATAAAAAACTTGCTTTAAATATGTACGTTAATAAATGTTTTTACTCTCATCAACTAAATTGATAGTAAGAGTGTATATGGCTTTTAATAAAGTTTACATTTTTAGGGCCCAATTTTCAGTATTAGCTATTTCATAATTCATTCGTAGCATTTATTTTAAATAGATTATTTATGAAAAATTATTCATTTTTCAATTACCACTACCTTTTTTAGATATGCATATTCCATATCAAGATTATTAGTTAAAGCAACACTATTCGTGTTTACTATCTGTAGTTACAGTAATTCAATCAGATTATATTTACTCAACCGGCAGGACAACTTCCATGACAATGACATTAAATTAATAAGAAAAAAGTATTGGTTACTAACATATGTGGGGTCTTTGCCTTGAAAATGACCTTACGGTACATGATACCGTAAGGTCATTTTCAAGGCAAAGACCCCATGTGCTAATTTCATTGTACCCCAAAATTTAGTTTGTTATAATAAGTCAGTCAGATCAATTGACTATGTAATAACTACGTAATGAGCTATTGATTGTAGAGTTATATAAATATATTTTCAATTAAATTTTATCGTTATTTCAATCATTCAATTCTTTATACAATAGCTATGTCACAAAGTCGCAGCAAATCTATATAAATTATGAACATAATTACCCACAAAATGGAACAATTAAATGTAAAGCAAAAACATACACATTAGTATATGTATTATCGAAGAAGGAATTTATCCATTATCATCAATTTTAAAATACTGTATACTGCAAAGCCCGGGCAATATAAAATACCCGATGATTATAAAATTAAAACTACTTTGGGAAAGCCAAATAAAGAAATTACAATTATCGCTTCTATTAATTATGTTAATAATAAACCAATTTATAAAACTGAATGGGTTGATAAAATAACTTATAAAGAAGAAGAAATTTATTTGGATAACTCATCATCAAATGCAGCATTATTATTTTCAAAGGTAAATTATATTTAATTTATAAATAAATTGAATTTTAAAATTATATTTTAATATAACAATTAAATTATTAGAAATATAATGAAGAAAAAAAAACTGTATATCCCGGTTCAGAAATATTTGGGTTACAATTAGAACCTGTAGAAAAAGGATGATTAAAAAACAACACTCTAGAACTTTAAAACTAGTGATGAGAAAAATGCGCATTTAATAATAACATGCGCATAAATGCGCATCAATGCGCACTTTATATAAAATGCGCATGAAATCGCATGATATAAATTTTGGGATTTATATTTTCCCTCGAAAAATATCGGTTATGTGCTCAAATTTTTACTCCAATCTTGCTCTTCTTTTATGTTTATTCATTTTTCTTTTTGGGATTTTTTGAGGCTTTCGCATTCATATTCCTTAATTCCACCCAAAAATATTCTCCTTGGCCTAAATTATATATACTTCAATTTTTCTATATAAAATTTGGATGAGATAAAATGTGCATGATTTTGAAACATGCGCATTAATGCGCATGATTAAGGAATTATGCGCACGCATGAAACCTATCTCTATTTAAAACCTTTTAATAATTTAAGTTTATCAGCTCAAAGAGATTAGGCTAATAATGTTTCTAGATTAGAATATTAATCTTTTAAAGAAAAGTGTAAACCTCTTTATCATTTTAATAATAATCCTATTTTATGGTCTATAGTTTATGAACTTTCAAACCAAACTTGGACTATTAATTATAATTCAAGAAACCAAATAAATAAGAACCAAGTTAAAGAATTTGTTTATGCACTTGATTAAGGAAATATTTCAAGAGAGTTTTATCAATCTTTAGCTACAATTTTATTTGTTTTATCCAAAAAATATAGTGTTATAGCTACTAAAAATAAAATTAATAATATGATAAATATTGCAATTCCAATTCAAATTGGTAATATTATCATGGTTTTCAAAATGGTTGAAATGGGTAAAAAAAAATTTTTTTTGTATATTCCTGTATACTCATATACCAGACTACCTTAGCATATTGACTGAATATCAATGCTTGATTTACTTTTGTTTCAAACAATAAGTATCTATATATGTATCAAACAATTGATATGATAAAATAATCCAGTATATAAGTATATACAGTATACAAGTATACTAGAAAAAAAAATTTTTTTTACTCATTTCTACTATTTAAAAACTGTAATAATCTAAATATAAAAACAAATAAATATATCAATAATTTGTAAATTATTCAAAATATTACTAAATTAATTGGCAAATATAGATTTTGAAGTATAAAAAAATATTATTATTCTTAATTCTAATTTGGATATTAAAAAAACATTTTAACTAATTAAGATTCAACTATTTATGTTAGAATTTCTGGTAATAGAAGAAATTTTTGAAGTAAAATTAATTATGTTATAATTATTTTCATTATTCTTAATAATAATAATATATAATTATTAGAGCAAAGTATCTAATAATAGGAGTTATTTGAAAAATAACTTTATTATCTGGCTATAAGTCAAATAAATAAGTTATTAGTACATAATATTCAATAATAGTATTATCTAATATCTTTACTATAATTAGACTAAAAAACAACTTGGTTATTTAGCAGTGTTAATATCATTTCTGCTAAATAATAAAGTTATTTGGCAAAATAATATCATACTACCAAAATAACTAAGGTTATTTTGGAAGTCTGATCTTAGTAAGATATCAGATAACAATATTTATAAACCTGATAATTATTATATATTAGAATTTTATTCCAAAATTGAAAATTATAAAATATTTAAAATAAGCTTACATTGGAGAAATTAAATAAGTGTAAATCTGCAAATATCTGTATTTTTCGCAGATTTTTGTAGATTTTTTTGCAAAAATCTGTAAAATTTTCTAGAATTTAAAGTTTTTTACAGAATTGTATTTTATTTCTGCATATATAGTTATTATTTTGAAGTTTTGTACAGATTTTCATTTGATTTATTATTTAATTTTTTTGCAAAGCTACACAAAACTGCACTAAAAAAAATTTTCCAATGTAACACTATTAATTCAAGATTTTATAATATTAAAAACAAATGAAATTGTAGAAAGCACTAGAATATAAAACTTTATTTTAGTTCAGACTAAAAATTTCTAGTAATTTCATTTGGTTTTAATATTGCAAATTTAATTTCTTTTTGCTTGGTATAATTGTTTTAAAAAAAATCTAGAAAATAAGAAAAAATATTAGATAATTAAAAAAAAAATAAATCAAATTATATTAAATCTATTATTATTTTAGCATTTAAAATTGCCACTATTTCTAATTATTCTAATAACCTATTAGGTTGTTGTATATTTATTACATATCTATAATTAACTTTGGAGATTAGTATTATAATAATACAAATGAAAAGAAAACTTTAATAATTACATGAGGGCAAATATATATAAAGAAATGCTTAATATTGGAATAAAATTTTATTTCTGACAAGAATCTTATATCAAAAGCTTGGAATTATACAGTATTAAAGAGAAATAATAGATTATATATTATAAAACAATTTAATTTAGCAGTTATATTATCTTATATATGTGCAATTTAATTATACAAATTATGGACAAAGTTTTATCAACTTTATATAGTATTTAAAAATTCTACAACTAATCCAGATATATTTGCAAAAATAGTGAAAGTATAGTTATATTTATTTTTAATACCATCAAGCAATCAAAGCCAAAATTTTTATAAACTCGCTAATTAATTCTATACATGCATGTTTTAGTATTTCATGCTCCAAAGTTTATACAAATTTACAAAAACTTCAAGAGCTTTTTCTTGTAGTGGTATAAAAAAAAATATAATCAAGTTTGTTATTTTTTCTAAAACAATAAAAAGATGGTGGTAATATACAAACAAATTTAGCAATTCTAGAAAATTTATTATGTAAAGATAGATTTTTATATTTTCAAAAGCAAAGAATTACTACTCTTTCATACCAACATAAAAGACTTTATTATGAAATAGATAATTAAATGTAATAAATATTATATATAATTACAATTGCAATCAAATATATATATAAACAAGTATATTACTATATTTAAGAATAATACTCTTGATTTATATAAAATCTAATTCTTAATTGCCCACCCAATGTTTGATATTATTTAATATCTTTAATAGTTTTAATATTCAAAATATCTTTATCAATTTTATTTTTTTGTAAATACAATTGTATATAACTTTTTTAATTATCTTCATAGTATCAGGTCCCCTTGTTGATCTTCAAGTAGGTCTCTTAATGTATATTCTGCATTGTAATCTTTAAAAATACACCAATATGTATGTCTGGCTGGTGAAAATCAACTCAAAAAATTTCAAAACACTGCAACAAATTCACTATTTGTACATGGAAACTTGATAAGTTGCTTGCCTGTCATCGCATAATGGAGAGAAAGTTTTTTGTGTATTTCATTTACTAGTAGCCTTTTAAACTGTTCAATATGCTGCAAGAATAAAAAAATTATATCAGCAGAAGGTCGATTGTAAGATTGATAAGTTGAATTTTCATGTTGTATAAGACCATGAAATGTTTTATAAGTTTTGTTGCAAATAGTACACAAATGTTGGCATTGAGTTAAAGCAGGTTGCCGTTTTGTTGAGCAGTTGCCAGGTCAACCATTTCTGTCTTGAAAGAGTGAAGAATTGATTCGGTAAGTCAAGCTTTTTTTGTTAGTTAAATTTTATGATAAAAGAACTTTTTATTTATTATTTTTAACGTTATACATATTTTACGTAATAAAAATAGTCTTTTTTTAATAACCATATTGTCGGCGAACAAATTTTTTGGGGTCAGTCATTATTTGCCGATTAAAAAAAGGCCCAAAAAATGAAATCAGCTGATATGATTTGCTCAAGCATCACACATATCGTGTATTTCTAATAATTATGGTGCTCGATCAATTAAAATAAAGAATTAAATTAGTGCTTAACAGCCTTTATCGATTCTATGTGGATTGTTAATGTCGTTTGAAAATTTGAAACACTATTAAAATAATAACTAATATATAAATTTTTTGTTAAGGCAAAGCTCATCTTAAATATATTATGATTGCCTTTTTTATTTGGCTATTTTGCCTTATAATGGTTTGCAAATGATAAAATGTTTTGCTTAAGTAAACATCTTTAAGTTTTTCTATATACGATATAAACTTTTACCCTATTAGCAACGCCCTTAAGAAACATAAAAATCATATATTCCAACCTCAATGCATGCAAACTTTACTTGTTCAAAATATTTACATGAAGAATAGATAAATTTTATTAATTATGTAAAGTTCAGTAGAGTTCAATCAGGGTGTCCAGGATTATGCGCATAATTTACTATTTTTTTCTCTTTCAAGCAACTTGTAATGTTCCGATGCAGATAATGAACTTAAAACACATGTAAGATTAAGGCAAACTTTTTCGATCAATGTCTGAAAGATTCTGAAAAATAAGTTGACAAATACATATGGTATATTACTATTATAAAGTAATTCATCTGAAAGATTAAAAAATAAATAAGATCACGTATTACATCGCTTAAGTAACAATGCAAGTTTTTCTTTTCTACTTCATAGGGTGTAAATGTTGCATCTACAAATACTAGTGTGTAGATAAATCCATAAATCACAGGATTGCAGTTTATTTGGACCACATTAATTAGGGAAATATGTTTTAGTTGTAACATTCTATTACATGCGTCAACGATTAGTAGGTTCAACAAAAATACTGTAGCTAATATAAAAGCTATTCATTTGGTTGATAATTTCAGATATATGTTTTATTAATTTTAACAAATAAATAGGACTTATTTGCAAAAATCTATCAGGATTGAACTTGCTAAAGATTTGTTTTTTAACAGCGCTGATTATGTACTATTAAATGCAAAATTTTGCGAATATTAGTACTTTTTTTATTGTAGTCATTTACACGGTTCACTATAATTTAATTTTATAAATGTATTTGCCAATTATTATTCTAATAAGATGATAATATGTTAATATTAACAATGCTTTAGTAATAATAATAAAAAAAAACAAAAATTACCATTATTTAACTAATTTATTGGAATAATTTTGAAATAACTTATCAAAATTGCTAACTTTGTATTAATAATGC